CTCCCGCTCCGCCACTAGGGGCGGAGCATTCCTCTCCCTTTTGTCCATGCTTATAAATGGACAGAGGAGCGAGGGAGAGACGCAGGCGCGGTGCACGACGGAACAATCTATAACTGCCATTGGGCGCCGTGCGCACCTTTTTACTCCAGCGGCGCCTGACGGCGCAACACGGAAGTGAAATGGCGGCGGCAGCGGCGCCGGGAGGTGGGGGAAGCGACGGTTTCCAGACTGCTGCTCACCGGAGGTTGCGAATCCTTTCGGGTCACCTGCGCAGCGCTTCGGAGACTTACCTGTCAGCCAGCCAGTGCCGAGGGCGAACCGTCGCGACGCCGGAAGGATCTCAGTCAGGCACCTTCCCCAAGAGACGGTAAGCGAGGGAAGCCTAGTCGAGGGCGGCGGTTGCGGATTCTCGTTGGTGGCTATGGGCTCCCCGAGAGGCCTGGCCGCCCGCTCCCGTGTCCCGACACCGCCTTCAGTAGACGGGTACTGGAGAGAGGAGGGCACGTCTCCCTCTTTCTCGCTCCCGGCCCTGCCTGCCGCTTGAAATGTGCCGCCGGTCAATTCCGCACGCGTAATCTGTGCCTGAAGTTCAGGCAGGTGGTAGCCCTGTGCGCGGTGACGGTTCTCTTGAAGTACGCTGGGGCATTCAAAGGAGACATTTTTAAAAATCCCTTCTTTCCGGGGCTGCAAGGCGGGCGAATTTTATTAAGTCCCGGTGGATTCTAGTGGCCAAACCTCTTGTTGGTGTTTGTGGAGGAGTTTATAAATTGAGGGTGTTGGTAATTTACATTAGCTTTTGAAAGTGTTATCACTGAGTTCAGGAATAAAGTTTTCTAGCTCCGATACTTAATTCGACTATGAATATGTGGCTCTAAGTTTGCATGTCACTACAGTTCTCATTCACCATGGCATGATATTAATTTGAATGGTGTAAACTAATGCGAATTTGAGACATTGGAGGATGATATGGGCTGTAGCACTTGAGATAGAGAACTCCTACATTCCCCTCTCCCGCTCAGGCATGAACTCCCTACACAGGTATATGACTTGTACTTCTTGAAACATTTTGTTAGAAGTACAATGGAAGTTACTTGGTTGATACTTCTAAAATAGGTTACAGCTCTAGTTTTCATCATGCTCTTCAGCTGTAACTTTTTTCATGATGAGTTCCGGACAATTTGTATGCTATTTTGAATAATCTTTTTAAAGATATGCTGTATTATGGATGTTGCATTTTCTTTCCCATGGGCCAGCAATAAAGGTTAAAGTGCTAGATGTGTACAATTGTAGATGTAAAATTCTAGAGATTTAATAAGCATTTGCTTTTGTTTCTTCAACTGACCTCTGTCTGTAATACATTTCAATGTATCAGTTATTTAAAACTACTAAGATTACCTGCCGTACACAAAAGATTTAATATTTTTTATTTTCTTTTTAAAATTTATTGAGATTTTATGAATAATCAATTGTAAGCAAATCTTGAAGAATTGTTCTGAAAGGTGGGCTATAAATGTTTGTAATCCGTATATGATTACATGTATATAATGAGCATAATTTAGCAGATTTATAATGTGCAGTATGATTGAGTCCCAGTGCTTTATTGTTAGATTTATATCTTACATTTAAGTTAGGAGCTCAGTCTAATGTTTTAATTTAATGTGGATTAATTTGCAGCACAGAATATTGAAGGACCAAAACATTGGATTTCTATTTGGCTGTTTTGGTAAACAGCTAGATAGATAAGAATTGAAATACGGTGTTGGGTCCATGAACAACTTTCTTTACCTCTATATATATCTCATGAAACAGATAATGGCTTGGAGTAGGGAACAACATTTAATCAAGAAAACAAAGGGAAATGGTGTCAGTGCCCTCCCTAGCAGCAGTCAAATAGACCTTTGGCTTTTCCTCTTGTTGCCTTTTGCTAACATTTGAAGAGATGAATCTCTAACTCATTCTCTTGTTATATTTAGCCAGAATGACATACAGTACAGCTTGCTAAAATAGTAAGGATTCTTGAAAGGGGGGGAGGAAACAAAGATGTCTTTTTGAAATGAATTTACATATTATTTAAATGGCTGTTGTTCTGGGCAGGGCATATTAGAAAAAATAATGAGCTGTGGGCCTTTGGAGTTCAGTGTGTTACAATAGAACAATAAGGGAAGGTCTTGCAAAGATGTACCAAAAAATTGCACATCTTAAATGACTGCATGCCCAATATAGATTATTTATGATCCATTCTCAATATATATTCAAGAGCTTACTAATGTGCTTACCTGATATAAAATATTCTTTGAGTGAAGCAAAACTCTGGGTGCTTTCATGGACATGTCTGTGTAGTGTTTTTGGCACCAACATGGAGATGATTTGGCATTAACTTCATTAGGGATGTTATTTTGTCTTCATAATCTAGTTACAGCTCTAAGATTCCATGGAGATCTTCCATCCAAGTATTAAACAGGGCTGACCCTGCTTAGCTCCTGTGTCCAGGACGGTACTGCCACTTGCTGAGTTTCTTGATATAATTTTTTAAAAGTCAGTGGAAAAAGAATCCCAGATTAATTTTGAAATAGGTAACTTAACTACACTCTACCAACAAGAAATGCATATTCTATAATACTTGTCAAGTAAGCTGTCCTTATGTATATTATAGTGTAAAATGTACTTTAAAATACTGTTTTCAATTTTTTAAATTCATGTTGTGTTAGAAGAGTTGCAAAGCAGTTATATAAACAACTTGAAAACCTTTGGATTCAGTAAAATAATTTATTTTGTTATATATTATTTCTGTAGTACCATGATATACAAAGGGCTTTAAAGATGACAGAAGATATCACTACTGCACACTCTACTGATTTCATACCCTAAACTCTTAAAATTTTCTCAAGATCTCTCTAGTATCCTCACTATTGTTGTCCCCATCATGCACAGACCTTTCCAGAAGACAACTAGCATTCCCTCTAGCTGGCCAGTAGAAGATTGCAAAAATACAGATAGTAGGCAGTCTCTCTCCTTGCCTTACCAAATTTGTTTTTGTGGTGAGAAAAAAAAAGTTGCCTCTTGGCTCAGTTTGAGTGGTGAAATAGTGATAAGGTACCTTGGCACTTCAGCTTCTTATTTAGTAGTGAACTGGCAGCATATTGATTTCTGCATTCAGGGGAGGCAGGGTAAGGCAGATATTCATGCCAAAGGGACATTGCCACTTCTGATTCAGGAGTTACTATTGCTGAACTGTTCTTGTAATGTTTCCTTTTGAATGGAAATTTAATTGACTCGGCTACAAAATTGTAGTAGAAACCCTATGATGTTGTGAGGATACATGGCATAAACACCTAACGTGCTAGAGATATCCTTCCAATCCTTTTGTGTCTGTGTATGCGCATGTACGTGCCTTTGAATAGCCTTGATTCCTGACAACTGCCTGGACAAGTCCATGCAGTTTTCTTGGCTATGTTTTCAGAAGTGGTTTGCCATTGTCATTTTCCTAGAACTGAGAGCTACTGACCCAAAGTCACCTAGCTGGTTTTGTGCCTAAAGCAGGCCTAGAACTCATGGTCTCCTGGTTTCTAGCACATCGCCTTTAACCACTGCACTAAAGTGGTTCTTAATCCTAAAAAGAGTAAGGGAAATAAATTAAGGTGGGTAAAATATAGGAAGAATGTCCAAATGAATCATGAACCAAAGCTACACTTACTGGGTATTTTTATTTCTTATATATTACTATAGCTTTTATGCTGCTGCATTGCCAAAGACTCTGAGCAGCTTACATTGTTAATATCAGAAGATTAAAAACAAAAATCAATACAACTAAAACCAATCAGCCTAATGAGCCAGTGTTTCGCATAGTGTGATCTTACTTATCCTTAAATGCCTTTCTGATAAGCCATGCTTTTACAGTTCTCTGAAAACATAAGGAAAAAGCAGTTTAGATATTCAGTGAGTAAATTGTTCCAAAAGAGGAATATATCACTGAGACTTGAACCCAGTGTCCTTGAAGATGGCATTCCCTCAGTGGTGGGCCTCTCAGAAAGCCTTCTCCCCTAGTTCTTACTGGACAGGCAGATTCAGCTCTGAGAAAGCAGTCAGAGAGATCTAGTCCCTGAGCCATTTAGGGCTTTAAAGATGAGCACTGTGAATTGCACCTGGAAGATAACTGGTAGCCAGTGCAACTCTTATAGTAGCACTGTTACATGGACAAACCTCAGTGCACTGATAATCGATCGTGCAATCAATTGCTGCATGTAGCACCAGCTGAAGCATCTGGATGGGTCTTCAAGGGCAGCCCCATTTAAAGTGTGTTACAGTAATCTAGCCAAGAGGTGACAAAGACCTTTGTGATTGCGGGCAAAGCCTCCTGATCCACAAAAGATCTTAGCTAATGCATACAATGTGATTAGGCAAAGGATGTTGTGATCTGAGCTGCTACCTCCTGTTCAAATTATTTATTTATTTTATTATTTCAATTTATATAGCTACCTGTCTCAAATGTATGACTCTGGGAAGCATATAACGCCATATAAAAAACAATATAACAGAATCCACAGCCAAGGTATGAAACCATTCAACACAACCACTATGTAACAGGCTCAACTACACATCCAGATCTCCAAGCTTGGTGGCACAGCACATCTTTAAGACTTACAAAAGGCCAGTAGGATCAAGGCCAGGGCCAAATTGATCTCTGGGAGGATGATGTTCCAAAGGACAGGTGCCATGACAGAAAAGGCTCTCTTCCTGGGCTCTGCCAGATGACATTCTCTAGCAGATGGGACCCAAAGCATGCCTCTGCTGCCAGACTTAATGGAACGGGTAGATGTAAGCAAGGAGAGGCGGTCCCTCAAATAACCCAGTCCTATGCCATGAGAGCTTTATAAGTCATTGTCAGCACTTGAATCAAACCCAGAAACATACAAATAGTTCTCAGCTTACACCCATTGTTCAGTGACTATTCAAAATTAGGTGGTGCTGAAAAAATGGACTTACGACCAGTCGTCGAAGTTCTGGTCATTGCAGCATCCCCGTGGTCAAGTGATTGCCATTTGCGACCTTCCCTGCTGGCTTCCCACAAGCAACTTCAATGCGGAAGTTGGTAGGAAAGGTCACAAGTTGCCCCAGTAAATCACTCCCATTGCTTTTTCTCCCAAGGAGTCTGCTATGGAGCATGAAGTCCCAGGGACTCATACTCTGTAGCACCCCCTGCCTGCATCACCCCCTGGCCCTCGTGGCTAAGTGATGCAGTCACGCGATGTCATGCTTTACGACTGCATCTCTTAGCGATAGCAATCCCAGTCCCAATTGCTGTCATAACCTCTCCAATCCCTCCACTCTGAGAGAAGGGTGAGAGGAAAAAAAAGCAATTTCTGTAGG